GGAAAGAGATGGATATAGGGTTGGATGCAGTCAGCTTTTCCGCTCAATCTCACCCAATTCCTCTCCATACAACAACCCCTCTCCCACAAGGCTTTTGTACATGATGCAGGTTCTGTGATTCTCAGGGCAGCATAAGAGGTTGAAGACCACCTCCTCCTGTTTTCACTAGCAGAAAAGATGGTTTAATCCAACCCTTATTATGCTAAAGTTACTCCCTTATTCTTTTGCAGTGCAAAAGCTTTGTCCACCAGTACCAGTCAAAGTGGGCCATCCTGCTTGCAAAACCATGGAGCTCCAAGACGACATGCCAGGTATGCCAGGCCTGTTCACAACAGATGGCATCCTTCCAATACTTCTGCCTATCTGTAAATCCAGCTCTGATACTAGTGGAGATCACAACACAGAGTCTGCAAAGCATCCAGAGTTTTCTTAAGTGTATTTAAGTAGCAACAAGGAGTTCAGTGGGCAGGTGCAGGCACACAGTGTGGAATTTATCTGAGTAAAACCAGCTCTGTTGAGCTTGGCTGTTTCCTTAAATCAGTTCTCAGCAGACTTTGTACCAACAAACCTCATTCAGTCCCACTCTCTACTCCATTTACGGCATTTGTTCACTGACTTTCTCTATTAAGCATTCAAGGAAATGGGTAAGCCAAGTCAGGAAAAGGTCAGTTACAAAAGCCCTCAACTGATTTGCAAAACAATCCACGCAGAAGAGTAAAGCGCTGAGTAAATGCTGCTAGGACTCTTCCATTATGCTCACGTAGATCTCAGCCCCTAGGGATTATCAGCAACCAGCGGAAAGAGGGAACACTGCAAGCTGTTAACCACAAAAGGTCACCTAATAGGTCATGGACACCCTGGAGTGGTGTGACTTGGCTTAGGAAGGCAGTTCCAGTCTACAAGGCAACAGGACTATTATTTCTGCTAAGGCACGGGATTCCACTGACTTCTCTTCCTCCTGTTTGTTCTTTCTGATCCTTGCTAACAGGAACTGGGTGCCTGTGTGGCTGAGGGGGGACTGTTTCCAGGAGATGCAGCATGTGCCCGGGGCCCTACTTACTGGTGCTCCAGTTTGAGTGCTGCTGAGCAATGCAAGGTAAGAACTACGTTTGCTTTGTAGGCAAGCAGTGTCTTAAAACAGTTGTGGCAAAGGCAAAACCACCACTGGCTGCCAAGATCATGAGGCACATGGCAGTTAAACTCATAGCCTGATCCTAGCAGGGCAGGCCCAGCTCAGGCTCTGTGGACACCATGCCTCTCACCTCTCTTCCCTCTAAAGTTTGTGTTTCATGTTTCTGTGACTTGATATTTTTTTTGTCATTACTCACTCCCCACCATGAGCCTGATGGTTGATGGGCAGCAGAGAAATCATTATAATAAAATATTCCCCGCCTAGAAATGCTGCTAAAGAGATCAGGGGAACAGCTGGTGTGCCATAGCAGTTAAGTGTCAGACTATGCTGAAACAAGTGGGTTCAAACCTCTGCTGAACTGTGGAAGCTCAGTGGGTGACCCTGGGTTTATTGCAATCTTTCAGCATAGCCTACCTTACAAGGTGTTGTTGTGGGAATAAAGTAGAGGGAGAATGATGCAATAAACCACTTCGGGTCTCAGTGTGTAGAAAAGTGAAATATAAAAATAGGGCTGGGCCTACAGGGCACATGAAGCCTGTTAAAAGAACCATTTCTCACAAGTGAATGAATTTCAGCAGGCTTGGCTATTGATCTTTGAATGGCCACAGTGCAAAAGCCAAGCTAGAAGTGGACAAGTACTAGAAGTATCTCCATAGATTGTAGCCCCCATCACCCTTTTGAGCTAGGATCTAATTTCTCCCACTTTCTCATACTCTCCTAGGCTGTGCAACACTGCCAGGCTCACGTGTGGCTGTAGCCAGATAAGAATCCAGACACCATCGGGTGCTGGGACATGCTCCTGACCTCTGACCAAGTCACTAGGTTTCTTCCTGCTTATTGATCATTGATGGGAGGCAGAATGTAAGAGGTCTGTGTACTCTTGAATATTAAAACTCATCTCAACAAGGTACTGCACTGACTCTTGTCCTTGAACTGTAAATGAGAACCGCATACTACGAAGGAACTGCTTCTCTCTTCGTGCTCAGAGATTATGGCATGAGGGATACTGAGCAGCAAATAAGGCTGGATGATGAGACTGCTCACAGTGGGAAGAGAGGAAGGAAGGAAGCGGGGGAAGAGTGAAAATAAGCAGGGGCAGGAAGTTCTGGGGAAGCTGTAGGAAAAAAGCAAGGGCTATATAATGGGGCCGGATCCCATTTTAATTCCCTGCATTCAACTTCCCCCCCTTCCCCTGCTGCATGAAACACCCCTAAAGTGCCACTCCTGGGGGGCAGGGGACCCCCCCTCAGAAGCAGCATAAAGGGGGAGGGTGTCACACCAGAGGGACAAGCAGCAAAAATCACCTCTCCCCTTGCACATGAGAACATTTTCCATGGGATCAAACCCAATATCATCCTACATCTCAGCACGGTAAAGCTTTTCTTTTAAGGTAACCCCTTGCCCCCCAAAAATCTGGACAGCTGCCCTCTCAATACTGGCATAACTTCAAAGCAAGGTGAGAGCCATTCTACCACCACTCCAAAGGGGGGGAGGGGGGAATCCTTGAAGGGCTCCTCATACAAAGAAGAATGGCATGACTTGGCTTGGAGAACAAAGATATAATTCAGGGAGCCTAGGAATTCAAAGCAGTTCTCCATTAGGAATATTCTAGCTTTGATTTCCCACATTGTGTGGGGAGCTGGATTAGATGGCCTGTTAGGCTCTTTTGCTGAAAAACCAGGCTATGCCTGAACACCAACACAAAAGGGCTGGGTACCCACTAGTTACATCAAGAAATGCATGCCTAGACCCTCCTTCCATTAGGGGCTGCTTGAGGAAAAGGGAAGAGACACACACTGCCTTCACAGCTGTTATCGCCTGGAGGACCACCTCTGCTGCAGCAGCTCATTCACAAGTGAAAACGATCCAGTCTTAGGATGTTAAATAGTCCTCTGCTGCAGCAGCTCATTCACAAGTGAAAACGATGTTAAATAGCTGTGGCTAGCAATACTGCTCCTGCTAGTTCATATGTTAGAGCTTGTAGGTTGGCCCACTCATGGACTTAAAGCAGAAATAGCTAAATCAATTGGAACTATCTAGTCCACAACATTCCTACGCAATTTCCAGAAAAATCAATTGTTTTAAAGACAGGCAATGTAAAAAAACATGTACATTTAATGCACAGACACAGAAATAACCAGCACAGCACACAGGAAAGGTCCTCGCCAGTCAGCCAGCTTCCAGGGTGGTGCCAGAACAGATGTCTTCCCCAGGCAGGCCAACAAGATGGTGAAATGTGTGCAGTAAGCCATGTCCAAAGGCTGTGACCTCTTCTCTCTCACCCCGTGTTCCAACCCTACAGAGGCACCAAGGAGCCAAGAGGTGGGCTGAGGAAGGGACACAACCAGCAACTAGAGGCTTCTAAAAGAGGTAAGCCCACCCTGCCCAGTTGCTGGCACTGGCAGCAGCTTAACTGAACGATCCAAGTTTAGACTCCTCAATCTCAGCAGAGGAAATGATGAGCCCCGGCATTCTGCCTTCTTCATCCTCCAGTGGCTCTCACTTGCTGCTTCAAGCTCCTTGCTGGTTGGTCTCCTCTTCATTATCTCTTCTCTTCCAGATCTACAGAAATAAACCAAACCTTATTCTAGTTTGGTGGCAGATTCTGAACCCACAGCAGCCCTCTTTGGCTGTATGCAAAACTGCACTAACACAGCAATCCTAAAAACACTTTCCTGGAGTAATCTCCACTGAATAGGATTCTCAGCAGACCTGTTTAGGATTACTCTATAAATCTCCCAATTGAAATGATATGACATGCAGATCAAATTCAGACTATTTGCTTAGTTTGTACACCGTATCCCAACAGCAATGTTTTCAAGGGCTGAACAGAATTTGGGTGGTGGGAAGCATACACACAGAGGGAAATGACAGGTACACACAGAGGGAAATGACAGGTGTGTATTGAGTTATCAGCTACCCTGGTATCCTGGCCGTTCTCTGAAACCCAAGGCCAAGCATCCCTGCCTCTCAACACAAAGAGGTCTGCAGTTGTTTTCAGTCAGTGCTTCAAGCAGGGGAACCACTTCTGCCTGTAGACTGGTCCCGGCTCTCACCTGAATGTAAGCCTCGGAGAGTGTGATCATCTGGGGGAGAATGTCCGTCACCTGCAAGTCTTGCAGCTCATACCACTTGCCTGTGCCCTGTCAAAGCCATAACACAAGGGATGAGGGTAAGATGTGGGCGAGCAAGGCTATGTGTGTGCCAGGAAAACAATAAGGCACAAGTGGTCACTCTGTCTGGACTGGAGATTTGGATCCTGAGTCCGGACATAGCAGCAGTACTTCATTACAAAGGCCAAGGTGTGGAATGGCCTTAAAAAAGTAGCTGAGGGCCACTGAATGGGGCTAGGAAACAAAAAGGAGGTGAACTGCTTTGAGGGCAGAGTGCTCATGCACACAATGTGGTTATACTGCCAGGAACACTGCAATCCCTCTGGGAAAACAGGAACTGGAACTGCTAGGAGCACTACCTCTGATTGCAGGAGGAATTAAAAGCAAGCTTGAGCCAACTCACATGGTGCAGCACATGGATCCTGTATGCTCCTTCAGCTGGCTTCCCATCATGCACTATGTTTGCAATGAGGTCATAGGTTGTGTTCTTATGCACAGCCTGTACTTCCTCAGAGAGGTATTCCCGGAGATCCACATTCCTGCAGCAGAAAAAGAAGAAACCATCAGGGCTCTGCTTTACCTGCTCTGCAACTATAAAACACTGCAGCTTTGCTTCTCACACAGAGAATACCATAAATCTGCACCTTTGGTAAGCCTCCCCTCCGGTGAGTGCCCCTACCCTATATACATAGGGTTTGTGCATCACAACAACCCTGTTCTGGCTGTGTTTCTGCAGGAGGCAGCAACAGCAGCAAGGTGTTGCGAGTACCACCTCCAGAATCCCCATGCACAGAATCTTAAAACACTTTGAATACCACTCCTGGTGGCAGCTTGGGGGTGTTGGGCAAGGAAAGGAGGAACTATTATCTGGGCTTCTTTCAGAGGTCTCAGCATCAGGGAGGGAAAGAAACCATCTTCAGAGGAGTCACTGGCAGCTACAGACTTTGATTTGGCTAGTAATCCAAATCAAGTTGGTGGACTGACTCACTCTTACCAAGATCCTTCGGCAGAGCTCTCCTTTCTAACTACAGGTACTCAAAAAAGCATGCCACACCCAAAAGTCAAAACTGCTAGCCACTACAGGCACCAGCAAAGCACTGACCAACTATTAGGAAAGGCTGGAGAATGGAAGACCAGCCAACCCCAGCTGCTAATCCTTACTGCTAAGGTCATTTGCCTCCATCATGCGAGAATCTTTATACCACTGCCGGAAATTATCAGGTGATATAGACACTGTGCATGTCGAAGGACAAGACCAGCCTCAATTTATAACCCATGGGATTTCTGAAGAGTACTTAAAGAGAGATCAGTCTTAAGATCCATGTCAATGTAACCCTTTGACTAGCTAGATTTTATTTTCGCATTTCTGACTTGAACTCTTGAAATTAACTAGAAGCTAATCAGCAAATGCCTTCAGAGGTGACACTAACATGAAGCCTCCACCCATCTAAGTCACCCAAAAAGCAACTTCAAAATTATCATCAGCCTCAAGGTTTATGACTCAGACTCCAAGTTCAGGAAAAGTCCACTCCAACAAAGCCACATCATGTGGCAACATGGTGCTACCTACGTGATGGGGAAGTTGACAATGGTTGGGTTCTTCTCCACGAAAAAATTGTTCTTGGTGAACCTCTTGATGCAGAAGATGAGGTAAGGAGGCAGCTTGGTGAGCTGGAAGCGCTTCAGGAAATTCTCCTTGTAGGTTTTATATTCCTGAAGAAAGCAATTTTTGCAGGTATACTGTCACCACACACACTCGCACAACTGACCTAGCCCCTCTCTCAGCCCCTTTTAGACAGAGATGAGCTAACCATGCTTAGGTGCAGAATAAAGCCCTCGGTTTGTCAAAAGAAATGCACAGAAGAACCATCACAAGAGGAGCACGCTTACTCATTTTACAACATTAATGTGGGGTCAGACCTCATTCTACATAATGGAGTATGAGGAAAATAACTGTTCTTTTTGTTCTGTGGGTAGAGGTACATGAAGTATCACTGGGTGCACATCTTATGGAAGGCCACAAAGTAGCCATAGGAAGCAAAAAGCACTAGTGTGCCAAAACAGAGAAGCACATGGAAGGTTCTTACATGGTAGCCTGTGGTGCTGGCTTGGCATTGTCCCATTAGGTTACAAGGGGCTCCAGTGGCCAACACACAGTCAAGAGCACTGGGACAGCCTCCGCAGACCCTTGACAAGTCCCTATGGTTAGCCTTTGATCACTGCAAGACCACCAGCTGCAAAATCAATCTAAACTTTGGTTTTAAGAAAAAGTATATCGCTTTTAAATTCAGAATAGAGTTACTTCTGAATCTTTCGAAAATGCATGATAAGCAGCTAGTGGAACTTCCCAGTGGTGAGAGGGTGTGATGTTTGGGGTCAGTACAGTACCTTTTCATCCTCTACAAGTCTTCTTGGAAGAGACTAGAAAAGCAGAGGAGACTAAATGGGGGAGGGCCTTACCTTCTCTGTAATTCCATTGAACTTGGCCAGGATGTTGAAAAGTGGCACCTGGGGGATAATAAGCTGCTCCTTCTCATCCTTGTACAGGGGGGCTGTGGGGAGGTCCAGAGTCAGGTACATGAAGGTGGATTCCACCATTTTTTCCTGGTACTCATCATTCTGGAGCAGCTGCTCCTTCTCCTCTGCTGGCTGAGAGGGGGGGACAAAGCAACCACAATTAGCAGAGCTGGCCGATGCAGAAGGACAAGCCTGGGGGCAGACATATGGTTGCCCTGGCAGAGGGAAAGAAGATGGGCTGAGAATACAGAAGTTTACCCCCATGTCAACAGTGATTCTGGTCTGCCCCTTGCAGGATGGAGCCAAGTATAGAGAAAGAACATGGCTTCCTAAGTACACTGTGTGTTATGCTTGTAGTTCTCTCTTTTTAATGTTTTTTTCCCCTAGCCAAGATAGTTACAAAGAGAATTCTAAAAATATGGACTATAGGAACTCTTGAAAGACCTTTGTGGGACTTCTAATAATCAGACTCTGCTTTCTTCATAGGCAACTACTTTCCAAACAACTATTTATTTTACTTCACCCACAAAGGCATGGCTCAGTCAGTCAATTCACACAATCAGTAGAGCAAATTCTTAAGTATATGGCAGCTTATGTTCA